GCGCCTATTACACATCTCTCTTGCTCCTGGGCACATGTCACAGTGTGCCCCAAAGCCCCAAGTCCCAGCTCCCTCCCCCCCAGCCAGAGGAGACCCTGGTTAACTGGGCTGTTACCGCAGTATTCGAGGTAGCTCTGGACTCCTGTAGATGTACTTGTGCCGGTAGCCGAGGTCTGTGTGGAACGGAACAAACTGCACCTTGTAGTCTCGGAAACTCCGTGACGTCGCAGCAATGTTGTAAAGCTGAGTTCAAGGGGAGGCAGTCACCCAGAGCTGGCAGCTCCAAACCAGCTACCCCTGCCAAACCAGCACCCCTCTCAGGGGTGGGTTATGGGCCCTGGCTTGACCAGCTTTGCTAGCTCTAGCTCCGTTTCACTATTGATTTGCCACCTCCAATACCACAGAATTTGTAGCCCCTTCAGACTATGCATTTCTACATACACCTTCCTATTGCTGACTTTTTGCCTGGCTGGGATGTCGTTCTACCCACACCAGTTCCTCCCACCAGATCAGTTTGCAGAGCCACATGTGTACCTTCTTTCCCAGATGAAACGGTACCACCGGGTCATCCTCAGCATGAAGGATGAGCAGGGAGCAGGAAATGTATTTCACACTGTAAAAGAGACAATAATGTCACAAAGGCTCAGAGCAATCCCATCACTCTGACACCCACACACTTGGATTTTCAAGGAAACTGCAATGACAAAGATGTCCTGTGGGTCATTAACTGCAGTTCAGATCTTGAAAACACTATTATCTGGGCACCATTCATTTGATCTATAGAAAATTTACTAGTGAAAGGCATCCTTGTAAAAGCTATTTGCTGCTTAGACCAGAGAAAAGTGGCTCACCCCAGTGCAAAGCATCCATCTCCCAAGGTCTGGTTTGGTTTCAGTACTGGAAACCAAGCTCACAAATGCTTAGGCTCTTGAGTGAAAGGCTCAGTGAAAAGAGACAATGTTATTACATGCAGGGTGGCTTATGCAAATGCACAGCAGAGAAATCTTCCCAAACCTTCAATGTCCCAATGCTACTGTTTAACATGTAACGTACACTTGAAAAGCATAAATCACATGGACCAAATTAGCATATCCCTGAGTAGTCTCTGTGCTCTCTGTTGCATCTGTCCTTATTAAGAACAATTAAAAAAGAAAGAGCTCCACAGTGCAAAGCTGTATTGCACTGAGGGCTGCGAGAGTAACTGAAATCCTTTCAGCAAGTATAATGCTTCAACAACAACAAAAAAAAAAAAGCAGAGATTGCAGTCTGATGTCTATCCTCCTTGAGGCTTGCCATGGCTCACTGCGGCCACAGCTGAAATCCCAGCAAAGAGGGAACTCACTTCTCATCGTTTGCAAATTTAATTCCACTTGTCGTGATGGGGTCAAGGAAGAACCAGTCAAACCCAGGGAAGTATCTGTATATCTGAGAGGAAAAATTTGTGTCAGTGGCAGGCACCAGCAGGACAGTTATACAAACAGCAGTAATGGGGCAGGCCACTGCCATCCCAGTAACATCCCTTGGTTACTGGCTGCGCTCTCTGCAGTGAGTTGGTCCATGTTTCCACCAGCATTATTTTTCCTCTCCTGTTTCAGGCCCATCTTATCAGCCTGCTCAGGAGCAGGCTCTCTGGGTGCTTGTATGGTCAAGGTCCCTAGGTATCATGCTGCTGCTGGCAACAGTCTTCCTGGAAGAGAGCTTTATCCCAGGGCACCTCACCAGCCCGGCCGCATCCAACACCCGGTCTGGGTGTCTGCTCAGTTCAGAGCCAACTCGCAGCCATGCCGGATGGAAGAGACGGACACATCAGAGGGAACTCACCAGGGAAACCACACAAGCAGAAAGGGGCCACATGGATGGGGCAGTGACCAAAAGAAGCCCAGCTTTGCCATCGCTTTGCTCACAGCCCACAAAATAGCCTCCGGCAACAGAGAAGCTACAACACAAGAAGAACGGGCTCTCCACTGCTGAGAGCAGTCTCTGTCTTCCCTTCCCTACATTTACTGCCCTTTCTGATTCCAGTTTCTGTTTTCTTCAAGCAGGCTCCACACATGGCTCTGGTACTGCTTATTGTACTAGTGCTACCAGGAGCTGCCTTAAGTGCAGCTCTTTATCCCCGATGCTTATAAATATCACTGCTGCCCCACAAGTCATGCAGTTAGCTCAGCTACATCACTTCTGAAGGTTAATTTCTAAGCATACAATTACATGCCACTAGTGTGAGAGCCACTGTGTACTTGCCACAGAAAAGGGGTGACTTCGCGCCTCCTCCCGTATGTTGGTGAATGGAGATTCCAGTATCAGGGCATCCGGGGGCGTTTCTGAAAAGTCGAAGGCAATGTGCTGAAATGCAGGGGTACGGATAGCCAGCAAGGTCGGGGTCTGCCTTATGAGAGCAGCTGCCACCATGGTGCACCAAGGACAAGCCTTGTCACAACTGCAAACATATGTGGAAATCTGGGACGCCGGCAGGACCCGGGCTGGGTGGGAAGAGCATCCACCCACCAGACTTACCTCTCTCGCAAAGGCGCCTCACTAGATTTGTTGCGACCCTGGAAAGAAGAACAACGAGCATTTAATCTGGCACAGGCCCTCTGCAAAGCACCAGGCTCTAGTGGCAGCAGGCAGTAGAGGTACAACTCAACTGCCGTAACGTCGACCCCTCACACTGTCTGAGGTCTGGGCAGCCAGCCCACAATGACTTGAGTTCCCACAAGTCTCCCATGCTCAGCTGTCTCAAATGGCATCAGGTGCCTGCATTTAGGTAAATGAACAAGTCCAAGGAAGCAGGCCCTTGGAAGGACCTCCTTTAAGATGGCTCTTGGGCTCCCAACATATCTGCAGCTGTGTGACACAGCCTCTTACCCCCAGACCACAAGGGCTGAGCAAGAAAGAGGGGAATGCGGGGGTATGGGTAGAGGAGTGCCGTGTTCCAGGCAGCTGGAGCGCAGGGTCCCAGGGTGACACCACAAGGAGTTTCCATAGCTGGGTCAGAAAGCAGCAGGGTCTCCCCCATGCATCTCCCTAATGAGACAGGCGTATTTCCAAAGTTGCTGAATCCTCCACACACAGCGTATTTCAAAAACCTCAAACTCCAGGCTGGCTGTGGTCACCAGGGAACTCAACTGGGGACCATAGTCCCAGGCCACTCGGATTGCAGTGCATTGGGAAATGTCACGAGTATGCTCTTACCCAGAAAGGGATCCTGAAACATGGCAAAAATTTAGAGGAAGAGCCAAAGGAAAAGCCTTTGCCTTCTCTCAAACAAAGCAGGATGTCTAGTATCACAGCAATGAAGAGGTACTGTCCTGAAATACCTCCCTGTCCCAGCAACACTTTTGTTGGACAGCAAGGCAAGCTGTTGTGGTCTCAAACAGTTTAATCTGCACACAGCTCAACTCAAAAGTAACTCTTGTGTTTGCCCTCTGCTCCTCTGCAAATCAAGGGGGTAAGAGCTGCTGAACACGACCCACCTCCAGACAGCAATGGAAAGGGAAGCAGCAGGAAAGGAAAGTTAAAAACATGCAGGCTAAGGCACTTGACACTTTGAACTTCCCTGTGCCAGGCATGACCATGTAAATGTCACAGATGGCCAGCAGTGTAGTCATGCAGGCATCTGCGTGAGTACTGATTACACACGGCATGTTTGCCAGGACAGGAGGAAAAGGTTTTGTAAGGGCAAGTCACATGCACATGTGGCTGGTCTGAGATACACTTCCAGAGTATCAGAGAAGCCTGATGTTCTGCTCTGAAGGACATATAGACATAGGTTCACCACAGGAAGAGATCAGTGCAGTCCCACTTTCTCTCCCTTTGGTCAATCTGCATTGTATTATACCAAGTGTCTTTTTTCCAGTGTAACCCTCTGGGCAATGAAGGTTCAAGCTCAAATCCTACCTAGTCATTCACTGTAGCCCTTCTCACTCTGAAGTGCAAAGGGGAAGCTACACTGCAGCAATTATGCCACAGGCTCCAAGCCAAGCCAGCCTGGGGATTACGGCAAACAGCACCTTATCCAAGGTCAGTGTTTAATGTTTTTCAGAAGCTGCTAAATCCCACTGAGATTAGATGCTTACCCCGTCCCCAAGGAGTGTCCCCATATATAGACAGGGTTGTCTCCACTTCTTGCTTTTATCCAGTCGAAGACATGAAGGGCGTCGTAGGTCATTCCCCTCTCTGACGGGCTGCCTATTGAATCGCCCCAGCCTGAAACACAAATAGTCCTTCTGAGAATCCCACAAACTGGTCAAAGCCAGCCTCCATGCAGCCCATCTGTGACTACAAAGGGACCTGGGACATGGACAGTTTCTGTTTATTTCACTGTGCATCTCTACAATTTGGGGCTGAAAGCCCTGATTGATCCGCAGTCATTTAAACAAGGTAACTGCTGGCTGCCAAGGAGTTTTCGTGGATTTAGTCAACAACGAAAACAAGAGCTGGATCTCAAACGCTGCCACACTGTGTTCTTGCACCTACCCATCTGCAACAGCCCAGCTCCCAAACCTTAGCTGCTTTTGCATGCAGGTAACCAATCTGTAAGTGGAGTCTCTAACGGTGTAAGAATTGGATGCTTAGGGTCAAAAACCAAGCACGTTTCACAAAGCTGTTGCAACATCAGTTTGTCTATGCTGTTCAATCAATGCCCTCAAGCAATTTTCCACCCTCCTGATTGTTTTGGCTCTATCACTATTGCAGCATGTCTACACATCTTATGCTAAGCAGAAAGCATCCCACATCCCTTCTGATACCTAATAAGCAGCCAGAGAAGCAGCTGCCAGCAGGACTGAAAAACAGGGCAAGGTCCTACAAATAAACCTCTCCCAGATGACTTCTTGATAAAAATGCAACGGATTAATTTCTTTCCTCTATCTCCAGTGGCGTTACACTGCAGCCATGGCTTAAATAATGAGAAGGAAAAAAAAAAAGAGCAGCAGATGCTTGACTGCTGGTGGCACAGAGTTGCAAAATGGTCATGGCTTCTGCCGAGGACGTTACCAATTGTTAGCAAATCATTTACTCTATGTCTTATCTCACCTATCAGCTTTTAAAAAGAAGTGCAAATTCAGTTCCCTGTGTGACCTCAGGAAAGTCAATTAGATCATATCCAAAAGACTACATCTAGGCATGCTTACTAGTTTCCAGATGCGCACCTGGAGGATGCCTTAACTGGATGCTGTGACAGCATATGTGCCTGGGTCACCCTCTGCTCCTTAGCTCCCAAATCAATGAGCCCTGTGCATGAGGACAGATAGGAGCCAGAGTCCGACGAGCTAGACATCAGGAAGCAGTGCTACACAGGAAGGCACTGGAAAGAAATTTCTGGAAGTTCTTTGGATACCCATGAGGAAAAAAAGAAGTGATAACCACGACTAATTAGCTGGCAGCGGCTAATTAGCTGGCAGCAAGCATTTATAAAACAACAGCTCCCCTGAGATCCAAAAAAAAGAGCAACTTCTTTGTTGCTTCTACAGAAAGAGACAGCTAAAAGTGTTTCATAATAAAAGAAGCCCACATACCTCGATAATCAAATGTGACCACGTGGTACCCAAGGGAGCTGAGAACCTGGAGGGGAGAGAAACATGCAGAAACCCATCACAGAGACTTGCACAGCAGCCATGCTCTTGCCTCAGGCCACGGTGCAGGGATCTAATTTATAACATTATCAGCCTGATATGGTAAAGCAACAACTTACAGCTTTTCGGTGTAGCAGGCACAGAGCCTTTCAAACACTAATCATCTCAGCCCGCTGCTTTTACTCCATTTGTTTCCTGGACCTCATATCAGGCTCTTAGATGTTGACCCTCCCTTTCACAGCTTTGCCCTTAAGATCCACAAATATCCTATGACTGTTTCCCCTACAAACACTTTCAGGTTTTCCAGTGAAAGAGTACAACTGCCTCATTTATATTATTCAAACTGGCATAAGTGTTAGCATATAGGAGCCCGTCTCAGGTTTCAGAAGGCTTAAATGTATACATCCAAAACATGCAATTGCTCTGTCACAAAGATTTATGTTACAGCCAATGGTAATCCTAACAAAATCTGTCAAAAGCAAGTAAAAATACCCCATGTTAGATCAACTTACTTGGAAAACGTGCCTTGGTAAAAACAATGCTAGCATTCCAAGCTACCATTGCTCGGTATGAACCTAACAGCTCCATGGTAGATAAATATCAACAAAAAGTCACAAAAAGATTAAAATGTTGTTGCTCTCGTGGTCTATGTATGATACATGATTTAAAAAAGCAATCTTAGTATTACACTAACCTCTAAACCTTCTAATGGACAAAAGGAAATCACCTCATATGTAAAACCAACACTTTCTTTCTAGTGTAACTGAAATCTTTACAGCCTGAACAATTACTTTTACTAGTTTAGATCTCATTAGTACAGGAAAAAAAGAGAAAAAGAGGACAACATAGAAAGGAGGGTTGTTCAGGTAAGTTGGCAACTCAACTCCTTTGCTGGGAGGACTATGATGGTGATGGTTTCTCCCACTTCCCTCTAGGATCCACCCGGGGCTAATTTTCATACATTTTGGACATGCACTGGATGTTTCTTTCTCTTCACTGGTCTGTGATTCCACGTTACGTCCCAAATTACTTTATGGGGCGTGTTCAACATACATTGGACACGTTCTCTTTCTTACCTTTAAACCCATTTTTGCCCAGCTCCCAGGTCTGCATCTCTTTAGCTGGCCACTAGCAGGCTGTGCACAGCCCAGGAGTCTCTGGGGGTCAGGCTGTCCCCCGTTCCACGCACGCTCATACCTGCGCTCCTCTGCAATGCCCCCTGTGTCCCCATCTCCAAGGTCTCTGCTGTCATACCAGGCCTGTACTCCTCTACACTGTGTCACTATGCTGGGTGTCATCAGTGTTTCATTTGACACAGAATAACTGTATCTGTAACTTGTACATAAAAACATTACAGCCATTTTCTCTGTAATGCTATCTGTATGAGAATTGTTACTATTTGTACTACAGTTATGGCTATGCCATGTAATTATACAAAGCTCAGCAAAAGTAAAACCAGCTAGACAGCGGCCACCTGGTTGGTAGACAATTGCTTTTATGGCAAAACAAGCTCAAAACAGTGCTCCAGGGAGCTCCAAAACAAGGTCAGAAGAAGCCTTACAAGCCTCAGCCATGTTACTAGCAGTGGCAATACTAGATGCACTGGGTTACAAGGCTGCAATTTCCCTTTTTGACAGACCACTATCTGCAGGCTATCACTCACAAGTCCAGCAAGGATATTGGAAACCCTCCTGTGGCTCAAGGCTTCTCAGGACCAAGCAATGGATTTTCTCAGAGGTGTTTACCCTTTCAGCTTGCCTTATGATAGCCTGCACAGGTCTGAGGGCAGTGTGTAGCTCTTCATTGTAATGTGTTGCCATTACTCATTTGCTGAGTGTTTGATTTTATAGCCAATGCAGCTTGCACAACGAATAAAACTGCTATTAAGACGACAACTACAGGATGCAAAGCCAAGTTCGAAACTCCTGTAGCGGCAGATCACCGTTTTCAGAGGGATTGCAGGCAGGAGCAGTGCTCAGTGGTTTAGACTGTGCAGCACTGTGGCAGATCAGGTATCTGCTTGGTGTGCAACATTCACGACCTTCAGGGCTTGTTGCACTACAAGCTGGACTTCCAGCATTAACAGTTAGGTTAGCATTCGTTGCAATTTTTTAAATAACACACCTAGTGGTACTGGGACTATTGCAGCATACAACTGGAATGATACCCGTAAGCTGAGCGCTACTTCTAAAGGAACAGTACAATTTTAACCTTAACAGGTTACACAGATATCGGGTAGAGTTATAAACAACTAGACAATTTACAACAATTTCAGGGCACACAGTCTGCATACAAGCACAACTGGAGCTTACACAGACAACTGGCGCCTGACTGGAAATGGAGATAGCATTTCCATTGTCCCACTAGGATCTAAATGGTCGTCTGAAGACGGAAAGCCAGTAACTTCACGTATGTATCAAACAGTCTGCCCTGCTGCTTGCTGGCACCCCCCCGAGACTAACACGTCACATCATGCTCACCCTTGCTGCACTTGGTTGTGTTATTTCTTGGCACTACTCCGCTACCCCTCTTTTAATGCCATTTTCCCACTAACAGTTATTTGGAATTTATATTAGCAGATGCAACTGCAACAGCTTCCAAGTCACTCAAAGGTCTTTTGCTTTTTGCTATTCAGATCTCTTCAGGCAATTCCTGTTTCTCCTTCTTTGGCTCTAAATCCTTCAAAGGCGTTCCCTTGGAGGTGACAAGGTCCGTACTGTATGCACTTCCAGGGCAAAGGCCCTTTACAGCAGAAGTATTAAATACGCAGTTGTTCCACTCTGGGATCCACACTCACAAATTACTGTTTCTTCAACATCCTCTTGCAAATAACTATGCCAACATCACAGAGAGATGTGGTTATGTATATACAACACCACAGTACAGAATACCACTGCAACCTACATAACAATAGCAGAATAATCAGGTGAAATATTAACTAACAAATTAGGTGCTGCAAGACAGCTGTTTCCATCAGAATCACTATACACCATTCTTTATACGTTCACTTACATATTGGACCCCCCGACTGGACATGCAGAACACAAGTTTGGTTTTCAGCTTTACAATGTGATTTTACTGGTAAGATATTACATACAATCTAGCCTTTTCCAGGCTGCTAAAAATTATTTAACCTGTTGACAGTTTACCTGTCTTCTATACATGTTTGTTATGTGTTGGCTGCATTGGCGGCATCTCTTCTCAATAACAAATAGATGCACTTTTAATTAGCAGCTGTTACATTTAAAAACAGATTTTTACCATCGTCTATTTCTTCTTAAAAAAGATGCTGAGTTTAACACATCTGTTGCAATCACGCACACAGGACTGATGTTTCATTTTCAAAGCCTACTGTATCCCAGTTCCACTAGAGACTTTATTATTCAACTATTCCTTCAACTTCTATCTGCTTAATTACTGATAAATAATTAACTGATAATGTTCTCAATTCAAACATTTTTTTCTTTTTGGTCTCCATCCTAGATTTCTTTTATGTTTATACTCATGTATACTTTTCACCTGTGCTGTTCCCGCTGGTACCCACCTCGCTCTGGGAGCTCAGCCCCTGCAGCAGGAGAGCATCGCTGTTTGCCCCATGGCAGCTCTGCCTTCTTCCACCTGAATATTCACCTTCTCCCCCTCTGTTTGTCTTCCTGCAAGCAGCCCTTCAGCACCTGGTTCTCCCCCTGCATTTACCTCCTCAGACCATCGGTCTAACCTGCACCAGCCACCACCTGCACCTCATACCTGTCGAAGACCACTACAGAGTGGCCTCCAGCTTTCCTTAACCTCAATCCAAGTCTGAACCCACAAGCACAGCCCTACACCCAAATCCTGCCATTCAGCACAGCCAAAAGCAGCAAGGAAGCACCTGAGACAGCGGCCATGCCTGGAAAGAGCGTGGAGTCTCCTGAAGAGGGACAGGAATGGTGTGATGCATCCCCAGCCAAATTCTCCTCTTGCCACTGGGAGCCAGGAGCTGCAGGGCTACACAAAGCAAATACACCTGGCAGAGAGCAGGAGATGCTGCAACCAATGCATGCAATCTCCATGCTCACCTAAACCTAGGCAGGCCATGATCAGGACCCCTGACCACCAAGACCTGCCTCCTCACAGCCCAGCATGGCACAAGCCGGTGTGCCCAGTTCTCCTCTCCCTAGCAGCGAGCAGGGACAAAGAGCTGGGATAAAGATGATGGTCATCTCCCGCCTTTAACAAAGGAAGAAGTCGATGGAGCCTCCCACTCCTGCACCCATTCAACTCAAAGCCAAGATACAGGTGAACCACTTGCAGGGGCTCATTCCTCCAAGGACCTGCCAAACCCTGACCATGGGCATTGCCCCGCTCTTACACTTCAGAGGTGCCTTTCTCTTCCAGGGAAAAGAAGAGATGAGGCTGAGGAGGAACAGGAACAAGCAGAAAAAAGCAGCAGAAACTGTCACTACCACCATTGCAGCTGCCAGAGCAGTAAGGTGCCCACCTCAAGCTTCACGATGCAGGGCCCCACACTAACAGCACCCTCTGCTTTAGAGCATGCCTCTGCTGCCCATGTACCTTCCTTCCTACCCTGGCACTGGGCAGCTGCAGCACCCAAACACCCGCTTTCCAAGAGGAAAGCGGACATGCAAAGCAAGGCCGAAGTACAGCCTATCACCATGGATATACAAGAGAAGAAAGAACCTCAACCATCAACATCTAGCTCCTCCTGGTGAAGGACACACATAGCTGATGACGAGCTGTAACATCCCTGCCTGGAGCCAACAACCCTGGGAGCATCCCAATCCCATGCCCTGCACTAACAGCCTCTTCTGGTTTAGTCTTTTTCTAAGAGTATTTTTCTTTCTTGTTTTTCCCCTTTGAATTAGGTCAGAAAAAGTCTCAGCTGAAGCTGGTAAGATTTCAATTGGCTTTGCAGATAACAGGCATTTCCTTTGACCCTTAACAGGATGTTTAGCATAACAATGCCAAAAGCTTTATTTATAGTAATTA